TTGCTTTTTGCGCACTGACTCGACACCATCAAGCATGGCTTGAGCCAGCTCTATTTCAGCCATATCCTTGTTTTAGTATAATTTTCTAAAAATTGAAGTTTGGACACACAATTAAACACACAAAAATCATCGATTCACAAATCACCTCGTTATTCAACAATGCTCCATGGAATCCTTGATTTTATACATGAAAAAGGTTGAACATAGCCACTTCACCTAAAAAACACATAAAAACTATTAATATGGACTCAAACTATTGAAACAAAAACAGGTATTTTCGTGCAACTCACTTTTTTTTACATATTTCTGATTCTTCTCTTAACTCAAGTAGGTGTCGCTACCGTACACGGAGAACAAATTCGTTAAGTTAAGATAACAATCCTAATAGTTACTTTCACATGGAAAAATATTGTTGTTTGAAAGAAACCTATAGATATTCCAACATTAATTTGACCGTCAACTCAATAATATCTACCTAATAGATTCAACTGTTCATCTTATACTCACCTTTTTTATGATTTTGCAGTTGTGTTTTTGAGATCGATAAAAAAGCAAAACATTAAGGAAGTTTGTCGATAATGAAGAGCAGTTCGTTTAATAAACATTGTAAAATTTTGCTTCCCTAACAATAGTTTTCTTGAATCAACTAAAGCATAGTTGTATTTGGAAGTTTGACATTTGTCCATCTACTGAAAAATATAGTTGAACCAATCGAGGAGCCAACTATGGACTATAGTTGTTGCCCTCTATATATAGTCAAATCAACTATAGTTTCGGGTTATCTCTAAAACAATTGAACAATATAGTTATTTTGACCGGAAAAATAATTGCGTCCGCTATAATTTGTTCTCCGTGTACAACAACATCCCCGTATTCTAAAGATATTTTATTTTGGTGCAACAATTAGTTTTTCTCAAAAAAACAAAACGGTTTAGTTATACTTAACCAATTATATTACTATATAAACTCCTCGATAAACTCACTTATATTTTTCTCACTGAGAAGATGAATAATCCTTCATTATGTGAAATTAATTTATTAAAATTATTTAATAGCTTTATAAATGTTCTTATTTTTTAGACTTTAGTAATTCACTTCAACGAAACATGGAGTACACGACAATTTTAGAGGGAAGCCCTCAGAACTTTATAGAAGTACTCATCACTTCAAGAAGTTCCATAGATATTAATGAAGTTCAGAGAAGATCATTGGGAGAACTTCAAAATTATTTAAGAACCTTGCGTCAGTTTATTTCAACAATATTTTTTTTTTTGTTTATTAATTTATTTGATAAGGCTCAACCGAATTAACTTAACAGAGCCGAGGATTCTTGGTCACTATACAATACATCTTAAAGCTATAGTCAAAAGGTAATAGTCAATAAACACTTTATCTTCCGCTATCCAAAAAACCTCCTCCATCAGAACTGGAGCCGCTTCCAGTAGTTTCATTGTATTGCAAATTGTTGTACGCCAACGAGAGTCAGAGCGCGTCCATTGCAGCAATGGACGCAAAACGTGGTCAGCACTCACACACTCATCACGAAACGGTTGCTTTCCAAAGTCGACGACGCATCGACCGAAAGAACTGCTGATGAAGAACAATGAGGAGGACCACACAATGGTTGCTGCCGAGTAAACAGACGATCGCGTAGCACACATCGAGAGTGGCCTGCTTTTGTCGACAGCCGAGTGAACACTGATTTCAACAATATATAGTTTAAAAAAAATCTCAAAAGTTAAGAGCAATTTGAAGGGTTTATTGAGAATCCTCCAGCATGTTATCTTAACTCAAAGCCTTAAGAGAAGATCATAAGTTTTCAGAAAGTTTTAAAGAACTTCAGGTAAATTTTGAAAATTTTAAAGATTTTCCTCAAATTTCAGAGAAGTCCTAAAAACTAATGAATTTTACAGAATTTTAAAGAAGCTTAAAAGTTTCATAGAAGATCCTAGAACATCAGAGAAAGTTTAAGAATTTCAGACAACTTTATATATTGAGAGAATTTCTCCCAGCTTCTAAAAAAATTAAACAACTTTTAGAATCTGCCAGCATTTCGAAGAAGTCTAAACTTTTTTTTTAATCCTTTGGAAAATTTTTATAATTTCAATAATGTTCATAGCATATACAAAAGTTCCCTGAATCTCAAAGAATTCCAAAGAACAAAATATTTCAAGACCAAACTAACTACAGAGAGGGTTATAGTTTTTCATTAAATATCGCAGAACATCAAGGAAGTTTGAGGAACTTGGCAGAATATGTCAGAAGTTCAAAAAGCTCTTTGAGTTTATTGATTTTAAGGACGAAGGGGTCTTGAATTATTAAAAAATGCTACGCTAGAAGAATGCTCCTTTAGAAAATGTGAGAATTCAGGAAAAGTTCATAGAACTTTAAATTATTTCCCAGAACTTCAGATAGTTTCCTTGCACATCAATTTTGTTTTTCGGATTGAAGTTCTAGTTCAATTAGTCCAAATACTTAATATAAGAACACCAAGCTTCTCCAAAGCTGCTAAAAATCAAAAGAAGCTCCCAGAATTGTAGAGAATACGAAAAATCTAACAAGAATATCCCAGCATTTTAGAGAAGTTCTCAAAACGTCATAGTACCTTCAAGTACTTCAAAGGATTTTCCAGCATATACCAGGTTCAAAATAATGCACAATATATCTAGCATAAAACAAAATTTACAACACCGGTGTTGTGGTTTTTTTTATAGTTCTAAATAAACCGAAACCAGGATTTAGGACTACGTTGAAGAAGCCCGTAGAAATGATGGAATCGAAAACAACCAAAAATACACTAACGAAAACCCAAAAGCAACATTTCGAACGCTAGGCAATTTCCGGGACACTTGATAATGTGGGACGTTTTGCAGGACATTTGGTAATGCGGGACAGGAAGGCGAATCCGTGACGTCTTGTCACTTTAGCGTATACCTTACGAGGCAAGGAAAAAGTGCGCCGAACACCTCAAGCCGATGCAATGCAAAAGCGCAGTTTTACGACTATTTCCGCCATTTGGAAAGCTACAGAAAAAGTAGTTTAGTTGGGTGAGAAATGCACAATAAAAATACGCACTAGGTGGGGTTATGTTTTATGAAATTTCTCTTGTCGTTGTTTTCACTGCGGAATTTTATTTTATTAACGAATAAAAGAAAGCGGACACCTCATTGTTCGGCGGTATGTTTGGGCGAATTTTTCGCCAGAAAGAGTAAGAATAACATTAATCTCACTCATCTTCATTGACGAGTGCACGGATGGATTTGAGTTCACTCACTCGACAAAAAGTGACACAACAGCGGGGCCCTGTTTACTAAAAATGAACAGATGAATAATGCTCGCGTAACATTTGAAAAGGGCCTATCAACTTTTGTAAATAATTTGCTAGGTCCTTTTCACGAGAACCGAAGTACGCCCACGCAAACCAAGAGCACTATCGGGAAAGGGAGAATTTCCTCTGCCCGATAGTGTTGTTAGTTTACGTGAGCGTATTCGGTTCGCGCGAAAAAGGCTCAACAAGTTTTGTGTACATAAGTTGATAGACCCGTTTCAAATGTTACGTGAGTATTATTCATGTGTTCATTTTTAGTAAACAGGGCCCCGCTGTTGTGTCACTTTTTGTCGAGTGAGTGAACTCAAATCCATCCGTGCACTCGTCAATATGCTAGAACTCTTTACTCCTTGTGTGAATCATTCGTATTCATTCACTCCACAGAAAATCCCCATAAGGATCTGTCAACCTGTGCGCCATATTTCGTAGGCCCGAATAGAAGTGAACTTCAGTCAACATTTAACCTGTCAAAGCGAAAAAGAATTGACTGATATTCCTAAACAGAGCTGAGTGCTATACATAGGTGCACTGAGAAAGATTTTATGGTTGAAAAAAACATTTTTTTTCAAGAAAAATATTTTGCGTTCTTTATTGAGCGCCTCCTTTGCTTTAAAAAAAGTGACTTTAGTGACTTTTTGACGAAAATAGAGACTTTGAAGTGACCACCTTAAAAAAAGTGACAAAGTCACTAAAAAGTGACCCGCTATCAGCCCTGCTGAACACTCAACTGAATAGGACTGTCCGGCATTTTTGCACATTTCAGCCAATATGCGATGTAGCAAGCAAGAGTCTTTTCTTCTGGTTCTTTAGTGATATCAGCGGTTTCTTTGCAGGGCATCGAGAAAACAAGCCGGCTTCAACAGCACGTCGTCTGATTGTTCGGCCCGATACAGACAGCTCTAATTCCTTTTGTACCTCGAATGATTATTTGGAGGCATCCTTCGTAACAGATCTGACGATCATAGAGTCCTCTCTAGAAGTGGTAGAGCGCGGTCTTCCACCTTTGCAGTCTACTGCAATCTTCCCCGTAGAACGATATTTGGAACATAGCCTTGATACGGTTCATTTTTTCGTACGGTATTTATCACAAATACTTTTTTGGGACATTTCACTCATGTAGCCTTCGATCATTTTTTTCTGAGTTCCAATCGAAGGCTGTCGGTAGCCATTTTAGCACTGGACATCATAAATATAATAATAAAAAAAGATATATTGTGATGACACAATAACGCAACGTATAAGAAGTTTGTTATAAGTCAAAAAAATTTCCGCTTGTTTTTCAACACTTTGACAGAAGAAAACAAAAGAAAGCGAAATGTTGCACTTGTTTTGTCCGATACAAAATACCCTCTTCTTGTTACTTGCAAGTACAACATATTATTATCATTATATCATCTAATGATTTCATTTTTCCGAAAAACAAATTTTTATAACAAGTGAGTGGAAGCAACCCTGATATCGGTTTTAGAAAATTTTAAATTAGATCGCAATAAAAATAGTTAAAAGCCTATGATATGGCAAAAAATGGCTTTAATGACCGGTTTCTATCAAATGACTATAAGTTACTGAACAAAGGTCAACCATGTGTCTCAGTTACTCCAACACAATTTGAAAATATAAAACAAAGGTTAAATTTTACATGGATTAACCCGGGATTTTCACCTTCTTTTAGACTATGGAACATGCCATTCTCCAGAACAGCGCTTGTGACATCTACCAAAATTACTTTGAAGACATCGAACAGCACGAATTGATTGAACAGTTCAGTTCGAAAACCGTGCACGTGTACAAGGACAACTTGGACGTGAAGCGTTCCTGCTGTTATATTTGCTGGTCAGAGGAAGGAATGCATTTCGCTTCGATCCACTGCAACATAGGACAAAGGAACAATCCAGTGACTGATTCATACATTTGGGATATCGGTAAGTTATTAAAGTCTTGCGCACAGCACAATTGATTGAATTTCCCAATTCTTTCGTAGAAAATCCAAATGTACCGCTCCAAACTCTCGTCCCGCCATATCAAGCACGTTGTTTGGAATACAATTTTAAAGATGGTTGCCAGCTGGCCGGTGGTCTATTTTCAGGACAAATTGCCATTTGGGACATCAGAGTGGCAAATGAGCCGGTAGAAATGACACTACGTGAAACGAGCCACAAGGACGTCGTCACCAAAGTGCTTTGGACCGGAACAAAGACTTCGAATGAATTTCTCTCCGGATCAACGGATGGTAGAATCCTTTGGTGGGACATGCGAAATTTAAATGAACCATATGATTTTCTGAATCTTGCTCCCAAGGATGCGAAAACTGTAGATCCAAAGCGATGTTTCGGTGTATGTGCGGTTGAGTTTGAACAGACCATGCCGAACAAGTACACGGTTGGAACGGAGAATGGTTTGATTTACAGCTGCAGTAGGAAATACAAGACCCCGGCTGATAAGATCCAGGCACTCACCGCCGCTCACACAGGACCGGTTTATTCGGTTGAACGGAATCCGTTGTTTATTAAAAACTATATAAGCGTTGGAGATTGGCAGACGAAAATTTGGACAGAGGACTGTCGTGATAATCCTATAGTATGGACGAAGGAATACGCTGTTCAACTGACCTGCGGAGTTTGGAGTCCCACCCGTTGTTCATTAGTGTTTATCTGTCGGATGGATGGAGTTATGGACGCGTGGGATGTTATTCATCGTCTTGACGGACCGGTTTTACGTATTAAAGTGAGTATTGAATTTCCAAATTTTTCAAAAACTCATAATGATCGTTTTTGGTTTAGCTTTCGGATGTACCACTTCTGGCACTACGTGTTCACAAAAGCGGAAAGCTAATTGCTAACGGTACGGAGGGCGGTGCAATATACCTGACTGAAATATCCGATAACCTAACCTTCAGTTCGGCCAACGATAAGCCGGCCTTGTCCGGAATGCTTGAACGAGAAATGCGCAGACAACGTCTACTGGAGGCCAAGATCAAAGAAATGAAGCTGAAGGAAAAGGAGCTCGAGCGAGAAAGAATACGTAGACAGATGCGCATGGAGAAGGAAAATTCCATCGAAGACGAGGAACAGGAATTGATCGTCGATGCGCAACACCAATTCTGGACAAAAATTCACGGCCGCAAGAGTCTGAAGAGCACTCTGAAGGGCATCCGAATACGAGATACTGGGGTAAATTTGTTGAAACCTGGAAAGAAGCCAATATTCAAAAAAGAAAGTAAACAATAAATAGTTAGTTTAGTGTTAGCTTATTCGGAGCTGAAAGTTAATGGTGCCTTTAAAGTACACGACATAACAACGAGAGGCAGATTTAAATGTACTATAGGTCACTTTTTGAGAATATTTGTATATTATAAGTTGAGTAGTATTATATGTTATCCAGTTTAAAGCCAACAACATACACAATAGTCTCAACTTGCTCGACGCATTATCACTTAAATAATCGAAGTATACAATAGCTTATTCAAGTTATCGAACGCACTGATGATTTGTGTGTGTGTGTGTGTGTGTGTAGGTTTTCGTCGCGCATGTTGAGACTGGCTTAAATAATAATAAGAAGTAAGCATTATTGGATATTTAGCATAACTTTTCTTCTTATGAGACTATGAGCTATTTTTCTTTTTGTTAGGAAAAAAGCTCAAAATAAAAAGAAACAGACTATGCCCATGACATTTTATACCAGATGTGTAATAGCCCTCAAAATTATGTGATACAATAGTTATCAGTAATGAAACAGGTACCGACTGCAATGAAACAAATTTATTATAAATTATTTCGTATAAAACAACATTTCGCAAAGTTTAAGTTAATTATGAAAGATCAATAAATACTAGTAAAGTTGTGATATACATATTTTGATTACATCTAGGGTTTTTCTACGTCTTCTTCATCTTTGCACTGGAATCCACAGAACTTCCAATTTCTTACGATTTTAGCACCAACACCACTCATCTCCTCTCGGAAGAGATCTGCATACCGTTGTAGCACTTCTTCCACTTGCTTTGACTTTAGTTCCGGCACGTACCGACTAACGTAGGACCAAATATAGTCGATGCTGGCTCCATGAGGATGCACCACCAGGAAAGCCGACACCAGAGTGATGACTTTGGCCTCCTGTGGATCTATCACTGCGGGTGGAGGTGTTTTTGGCGGTTCCGGCGCAGGTGTCGTGATGACAATGGGCGTCGGAGTAGCCGCTGCGGGTTTGTGTTCTGATTCGGATAGTTCGCTTTCGTCTAGCTCAGAACCACCCTTGGAAGAAGTAGAAGTATTCGTTGCACAGAGAGACAATTTTGATTGTGTGGTAGCGATTTTGGTTTTTAAAAGAAGCTGTTTAACGTTTGCTTCCTTCAGTTTGTCTTCCAGCTCTTGAACTTTGTTCTGACGTTCCGTCTCTTTGGACTTGTTTTCCATTAGTTGAGTTTGAAGATTTCGGATTGTCTCTTGCAGGACTTGAATTTGCATCGTTTTCATTTCAAGTTCAGACCGCACCGACTGAAATTCCGCGTCTGATGAACTGTCCCGTCGTTCCTGAAATGTGAAGTTATTTTAGAACGGTGTGAATGTTTAAACCCAACTGAAACGACTCTGACAATGAAGAGATATGAGTTGTTCTTGGCTGGTGGCCTTATTGTACGAAGTAGAGGCTGTTCACAAACCACGTGGAACACGCCCTGCATGGACAATCCTCCATACACATCTTTAACAATTTGTATGAACCACGCCTTCCCAAACTACCTCCTAAGCTGCCGACGTGGTAAATCGCCAGCTCCTTAGATTATTTATCTCAATCGGTAAGAGTTATCCATGTGGGATAGGTACAGAAGGCGAATCACAAAAGGTCGAACGAAATTAGGCCGAAAATGTATAAATCTGTCACCGAATGCCGAAAACACCATAAATATGTTTACGAAATGCCGAAATGCTAATAAAGCCTTAAAAACACATAAATATTTATCGTTCGGTTAATGAAAAATATTACAATTTACAACATTCACTCAACGATATGCATTTCACATATAAAACTAGCTGTTAAATACATTTTTTTGTACTTCAACATCCATGACAAGTTTGTCGTAACATTATAATATTACAAAATATTGGCATATAAACGCCCCTTAAATTTAGCGGAATTCCAGGTGAACAGGGATATACGGTTTATAATCTTTCACTTGACAAACTTTGAATTTACCTCTTGTTTAAATATTACGCTTGATTAGCCGAAACGAAATTAAATGGAAGCAACTTTTACTACACAAGGTATTATACTCCGAGGAGTTAAAAAACAATCGATGTTTATTGCAGTTTTCGAGCGATGCACGTAGTTTTTTTTTTAATTTTTTAACATTAGTGTGATCACAGACAAACAGACGTAACACTTTATTGTGTATCTTCGCTCACGCATTTAACTGTTGATTTGAATATTATCAGTTCCGCAAACTACTCGCCGCAGCGCTGGCATCGGATCACTTTGACATTTCTATACATTCTATAGAACTTTTAAGCAATATTGTTTGCGAGTTAGCGAGCAAGCTTGTTTTCCGCGAGAAGCCCGAGAGATGTCGTTACTGAGGTCCTATGTTTTGAAATACTATGTTTTCAAGAAAAACTTTTTCAAAGAGTTACGTCTGTTTGTCTGTGATTTAATGGTGTACTGTAAAAAGTCACAAGAATTGTTGTAGTCCTTAGATAATTAAATTCTAAATTCTAAAAGTCCAAGCTTGAGTTAAAGAAATTTTGATCATGAAGGTATGAAATTGCGGTTTTAGAGCAAATTGTAAACAAACTCGATCGCTGTCCCATACAAAAATCCAACATGGCTGTATAATGAATTTGACACATTAGAACACCTGCACACCAAATTTAAATCGTTGAAAATTAGCAAAATTTCGCTGATTTTAAACTTGATGAAAGATCAGCACAAATTCAGCAAAATAATGCTGCTGAATTTTCCAGCAATTCCAACTTCTGTCAAAATGACAACCTTTTACTGAAAATCAGTAATATCTCTTTACTGATCTTTCAGCAATTCAAAATTCTGACATTTGGCAGCATTTTGCACCATATATGTAGCATTTTCACACCAAAACGAAAAAAATCTGATTTACAGTAAAGCGTTGCGCGGATGTTCGTTATCACCCAATGCTGCATTTTTTATTGAGATCTTTTTACGCTTCTTCCAAAGAAGGTTAACCCTTTCCTTCCCATGGTAGCATAGGTGATCCACAACTTTTTTGACTTCCTCATGTTTGTCAGCGTGCCATTAAATAGGCAATACTTATCTAACCCTATTCGTATGGCCATTATATTCGACCATACATGGTTTTTAGAATCCAACTGGTCAAATATTGAAAAACAATTAAAATACTATTGATTTTAACCAAAAACTTTTTTTTATGGATTTGATATTTTAAGGTTATACCCGTAAAAAAAAGAACCGTAGAGGTACAATGAAATGTATTGTAACCATACAATAGAGTTTATGGTATTTACAATAAATCGTATTCTCCACAACGATAAAATAACAATAGAATGTATTGTTTCTACAATAGAATCTATGGTAAATGGGGGAATATACAATGGATTAAGGGGGTCGTTATGTATCTTAACCATACGAAAAATCACTTTTTCCCGAACAAACTTGAACCATTTACCATTAATTGTATTGTTGTTCTATTGTTGAAAACTCTTACTATATGGGACGTATTGTACATCTATTGTAATAACAATATGTTAAAAGTTCGTGTACTATATACGCACAATAAGATCGATTGTTGGCAATAGATTTACTTGTAATTGTATTTTATTTTATGGTAATTGTATGGTTATTTTTTTCCGGGTATGCAACATTTTTTGTTCCAGCACTTTTCTTAGGAACGCATATTTGTATGTCAAAACTATCAAAAACCGTGTGGGAAGGAAAGGGTTAAGGTACACCGGGGCAAGTGAGAATAAGTAGTTATTAAGGATTGTTACTGCAGATTCCCGCCTGACCTAGTTCAGGGCAATTGAAAGTATGGGCTATACCTTCACATTCCCTGAACTAGGCCATGCGAGAAATTGCGGTAACAATCCTTAATAACTACCTATTCTCACCTGCCCAGGTGTACCTTAACCTCCTTTGATTTTTTTTTTCTTCCTTTATTAGAGAGATTTTTAGCCTAAGGCTAGTTCTGTTGTGATATGCGCAGTACAGAGAAAGGAAAATAACGTGTAGTACGGTTGACTAACCAACTCGGAATGAAACTTTATTTCTGCTTGTTGTGGTATACAGCAATGAGTGTATTTGTGTATGTGAAAGGAAGAGTGTCAAGAGAATATATATAGCACTGATATAAAAACAATCCTGTCTTTGTTGTGATTGAAATGACAAGAGTCTAACACTCCTCCTCAACGAAGACGGTATCGGTAATGGACCTGATGCCGATCGCGTTCCTGTGTCTCTCTAACTTGATCCGCTCCAAGGGCTTAGTCATCATGTCCGCTTCCATTTCGGATGTTGGAATGTACTTCAGATCGATGACTTCACGTTGCTGCAGATCCTTAGCGAATGCGTGTTTCGTATCGATATGTTTCGATCGCTTCCCAATGCGGTCTGACTCCACCAGCTTGATGCAAGACTGGTTGTCTTCCCACACAGAGATGGGCAGAAGCTGCTCCTCGTTGATGTCCTTTGAAAGCTTCAGATGCCACAGAAGTTCCTGGCATCCCTCCGCCAAGGCGATGAATTCCGCTTCTGTCGACGACATCGCAACGCAAGATTGCTTGCGCGTGCCCCAGTTCACCAATCCGCCGCCATACTTTATGAGAAAACCAGAGTTCGATTTTCTGTCTTCTTCGTTGCTGGCCCAGTCGGCATCAACGAAACATTCAAGGCCTCCACTTCCTCTGCCTAGGTGCAGCCGCAGATCCTTTGTGCCTTTGAGGTATCTTAAGACACGTTTAGCTTCGGTCCAATCACGGTTGGTTGGCTTGGTCACTTTGCGGCCCAGTAGCGATGTGCTGACGCAGATGTCCGGACGAGTATTGACCGCGATGTATAACAAACTACCAACCAAGCTACAGTAGGAAGTGTTGTTAGGTAACACCTCCTCCTCCTTTTGTTTCACATAAGCCGGGTCAAGGGGAATCTTGGAAGTCTTCGCACCCTCATGTCCGAACCTGGTAACGAGCTTCTCGATGTAGTTTTGTTGACTGAGCGTGTAGTGATCTCTGACTTTCTCCACGTGGATGCCGAGAAACTGCCGCAACTCACCGAGACTGGATAGCTTGAAGTGCATCTGTAGTAAACTGCAGATCTCCTGAAACTCACGCTCCGAATGGCAGAACACGACGATATCATCAACGTAGATTAAGATGAACATTGACTTTCCGTTCCGCACACGCACGTATAGGCAAGAGTCTGCATCGGCTGCTCGAAACTGCATCTGTTGAAGCACATTGTCTATTTTCTTATTCCAGACGCGCGCCGACTGTTTGAGGCCATATATGCTACGCCTGAGGCGGCACACCCGCCCGTTGTCCGCAGCAAATCCCGGTGGCTGCTTCATATATATGTCCTCTTTGAGCTCGGCATACAAGTACGCTGTTTTAATATCGAGATGCTTAACAAGCATACCTTCTCTGCTTGCAATCGTCAGCATCGTTCGTAGGGTTGACTGTCTGACAACGGGGGCAAACACCTCGTCGAAATCACAGCCGTATTGTTGCGAGAACCCTTGCGCAATGAGCCTCGCCTTATACCGCACAGTTTGGCCGGTTTCGTTTTCCTTTTTCTTGAAGGTCCACCTACATCCGATGGCCTTCTTACCTGGAGGCAGTTGGACTAGATCCCACGTTTGGTGCTCGTTGAGAGAAGCCATCTCTTCCTCCATCGCTGCTTGCCAGGCTGACTTGTCGGGGCTACTTATCGCTTCATTGTAACTTCTGGGATCGTCGATGCTGTGGGTCGTGGCACCCATCATGTCAGCGTACCTCACTGGTGGCTTTCCCTTAGTCGAACGCTCGGAACTTCTCGTTGGCTGTCCAACTTCTTCTCCCAGCATAGGATCATCATCGCTGAATCCATGGAAACTGTCGTCTGACTCTTCCATCAAATCTTCAACGGCATCTTCCATCGCATCTGCATCGGCATCCTCTTCAACGATCTGTGGATCTGGCGGATTCAGTTGATGAAACTCGAACTCGACCGTGTCGCTCTCCTCGTTGCTCGAAGTGTTTTCTGGGCCGCGGGCTACGGGTGTTCCATCTATGAATCTTGCATCACGACTTACAATGACTTTCTTCGTTGATCGATCTAGGAACCTGTAGGCCTTATGTTCCGCAGAATAGCCCACAAACGTTAGCTTTTGGGCTGTTTCGCTGAGCTTCTTGCGTTTTTGTTTCGGTATGTGAACCCACGCGGTACTGCCGAAGACTTGCAGATGACTCACGTTCGGTTTCACGTTGAACCACAGCTCGTACGGGGTTACACTCACAGATTTTGACGGGAGAATATTCTGGAGGTACACCGCTGTACTCAAAGCCTCTGC